CTTGTTTAAAGGGACGATCGTCACACACACGCCATCAAATAATCTTTAATTTTAATTTTGTACGAGGGGCGACGAGAGATCTCTCCGCGTGTGACGAGTTTGGCAAACAGATCTGATGCTGACCATCGTTGGTGGCGTCTCAAATAGAAACGGTTTAAAATAACTTCCTCGATCCCGTGGGGGATCGCTCACGCGGGAAACGGAAGGGCGAGGAAGTGGCGGTGAGAGGCCAAGTTTCAGTTACTCTCGCGCCCTTCGACGCACGTTTGAACAACGGCTTTCACTCCTCGATTTCCACGATTTCCACCGTGGAATTCTAGGTGTCAAAGTACGAGACGAGACGCGTTTCGTCGAACTTTTGTAAATTAAAGAAATAGATATTGGTTGGTAATCCGAGGTTTCGGTAATCGGTTCTGTGTTTCTGTTGTACAAGGTGTTACGATACAGGGTGGGCCCATGATCAGAACCACGGACGTTGCGGCCATGTCGGCGGCCTGTGCCAAGCGAAGAAAGAAAAAAAGAGAAGGAAACAGAGAAGACTTGCTACGGTGAGTGGATAAATTTCGCAATTACCGGGAAAAAAAAAAAAAACGATTAATTGTTAAGAACTAAAGAAATAATACTGAAATGTATATTTTTCATCAACAGTGTAAAAACCGATATTAAAAATACGAGAAATACGAAGAATCGATTATTCTCGAAAAAAATTTATTGTATACAGTATTATTTGAATAATTTAATTTTATAATCGGAATAGATGATGCAATATCAATGAAGAAAATATCAATTTTCGGAAAGCACGAGACGTGTTATCGTATCATGGAATTAAAATGGAATTTAAATTGGTATATTGAAATAAAAAGAAAAAAAAAATGAGGAAAAGAAAGGATAAAAAAAATTCGTTAAATTTAACCGAGCGTTTAAGCTAAACTCGATTAAAAAACTTGTTGTATTAAAATACAGGGTAACACGGAGGACGAAGAGGAAGGAGAGTACAGCTCCGAGTGTGATACCGGTCTACCGTCTTCCCGGCTGTCTTGGACAGCGTGTTCAACTTCGACTACGAATACGACAACAATTAGCAACCGGCCGTTGAATCCCGAATGCCAGGAGTTCCAGTTGCGACAAGTCGTTGAACTTAATACCTCGCTACCCGCTATTTCAACCTCCTTCAACGATACGCCCACGTCCGAGATGAGCTCGACGATAAATCAACCGAGCGCGTTATCGACGTCGGACACCACCTCCGTCGATAACGATTCAAACGAGGTATGCAACGGTGTCGTATCCGACGATTCGAAGAATCAAAACGATAAATCGATCGAGAACAGCAAGTCTGATCATCAATTAGAAACGATTTTATTAGAAAACGGTCAATCGAAATCGCTAGGCGCGATCACCAATTCGGTTAACGAATCGACGAATAGACTGACGAACTGCCTCCTCGAGAATAAGGAGGAAGCAGCTCTTTTGACGAACGAGGTCGCCGGCGAGGCGACCGAGATCGAGAAACTGCCAAGCACTAGCAAAACAGCAAATAATGAATCATCGAGTGCCAACGAGATAAGCGAACGGTCGACGAGCAACGAAACGAATGGGGAGATCCCCCTGGTGAATGGGCAACTGGGCTCGAGTAGTAGTAGTAGTAGTAGTAGTAGTAACAAGAGCACGTCGTTGGCCACGAATTCGAGGCCGTTGTCACCAAACGCGTTAAACGACGAAAAAACAAGATCGAGATCAAGATCGATCACGCCCAAGAGCGTGGAGAATACTGTATTACCGATTAGCGAGGATCGGAATCACGAATCATGTTTATCGAACATTGGTAAATCATCGTCATCGACCAATCTGTCGATGAACGAAAGTATGCGAAGGGCGCGAAATTCGTGAGAGAAGCAACGCCTGGCCCCGATCTGAGCAACACGGCCGAGTTGGAAAATGAAACGAAAATACACGAATTGGCGGAGAATATGGAGAAGATAGATTCGAAGGTAGATCCTTGCGGTGATAACGTCGGGGGGGATGATGAGTATCGAGTATCGAGTAAATTTGATGAAATGAAAATGGTACGCGATCGTTTGAGCAAAGAAGAAGCGATTGAAGCAACGAACGAGGATTCTGGTTTCGAGAGTCAGACGCAATTATCCGATTATCCCATCATGAAGGCGGTAACGGAGTGGTTACGAAGGGAAAAGTCGCCTGATTTGTTCATCACATCGGCCATCTCGATGGATTGTGAGGAGGACGAGGATGACGCGGTGGGCGAAGAGCCGCCAAAAAACTTGCAAGGCAACCCCATGCCTGCACTATCTGTTAATAGCGGTGCGGACAATGCGGCATTGTCGCGCGCAGCTAGCTGCGGGGAATTCGCAGGAATCAGCAACATGAAGGGTGGACAGGAACAACAGCAGCCGGAAGTAAGTGGTAACAGTGGAGTTTCGAGAAGAAGGAAAGATGCGAAAAGAAGATCGGAGGCACGGAGGCGGGTGGCCAGACACGTGTTGGACGGTAAGATAGTAGATCACGAGGCGGTGTCCTCGTCGGATTCTTGTGGCCAACAGGAAGAGCTGGTGAATATTACGAGAAAGAAAAATCTGGCTAAGCAACAGCAAGATGTTGTTGGTGAAATTTGCGAATTTACTGAGACGGATAGCGTTGCGGGTATGAGGGTTGCTTTAAACTCTCGGATGGACTCGAAGAGAGTCAATGCAAGGCGAACGAAAAGACAGGGGAGATCGCACGCGCGGAATCCCTCCCGGATTAATATCGACACAAAGATTCAATGTATCGAGGATGTGGACGATGAGAACGATGAAGGGATCGCGAACGATGAGGATACGATGAATGTAAGGACGTTCGAGAAAGGTGAGATCGTGGTCACAGAGGACGGAAAATTATTGACGTCTTCCACATACGATCCGAATTTACGTAATCATCATGATCCTCCTACAGTGATTAAATTGACTCTTGGCAAAAGTGAACCGGTTAAAGAGGAGAAGACTATAGACTATGAAAAATTAGGAAAGACGAGGGGGGAAGAATTGAAAGGAAGTAGCAGCAGCATCGAGGATGAAGAGACTGGTAGTAGAATAGGTTCCTTAGATAGCATAGAAGAACCTGATGTGCTAGAATGTTGGGAAGCTGAAATCATTGAGCCTGTGATAACTCCAAAAAGAATATTACAAAGTGAAGGAATACAATGCGACGGAGAAGCTGCAGAGGATGATAATATCGAGATCGAACAGGTAAATTTGGACTACGTGCAGAAATATTATAGATTGGCACGCGAAAGCGCCAGCATTGAGGGAATTAGTTTAAAAGAAGAATCACCATCATCGTCAAAATCAGTGCCAAATAGAGAGAATGAGGAAAAGAATGAGATTCAAACGCAGAAAATGTTCGCCGAAGATAAAAGTAATATCCCTATTGACGAAGCTTTTGAGGTATATGAAAGCTGTTACACCGGAAACTCTCCGTTTCTGGCGATTGATTCGAATGTTTTTAAATCACGAACGTTATACGGCCAGGAAGCCGAGACCCCAATACCATGCAAGGCGGTTTGTTGCCGAATTCAATGATTTTATGAGTATTTTTATTGAGCGCCTCCAGATTACAAGCGTACACCTCCACAGGGACGTTTTTCAAGTACTGATGTCAAGGCCGTCCTTTTCTAAATAACCATAAGCCTCTGACGTTCTGTACTCTCTTTGCCGATTTATATACATTATATATATATATATATATACATATATCGTGTACACATTCTACGAACACGTGCATTCATCCTGCTATCATTACGTTCTCATTATTCTTATTATTATTATCATTATTATTATTATTATTATTATTATTATTATTATTATTATTATTGTTGTTGTTGTTGTTGTTGTTGTTGTTGTTATTATTATCATTATTATCATCATCATCATCATCATTATTATCATTATTATTATTATTATTATTATTATCATTATTATTGTTGTTGTTATTATTATTATCATATAATTATTATTATTATTATTATTATTATTATTATTATTATTATTATTATTATTATTATTATTATTATTATTATTATTATTATTATTATCATCATCATTATTATATTATTATAATCATTATTATTATTATCATCATTATCATTATCATCATCATCATCATCATCATCATCATCATTATTATTATTATTATTATTATTATTATTATTATTATTATCATCATCACCATTATTATCGTCATTGTTATATTATTGTAAACAATATGCTGTCTGACATACAATAACAACAATAAACTTGCCTAATAACTATTTAATAATTTGAAATTATTAAATCAACATATAATGGTAAATTAACAGATATATATATAATTGTCAAATTAAAAAATAAGTCATTTTAATAGATTTAAAAATATTTACAAGTTTATATATTGTATTTACAATCATTCACATTAAAATTGAATTTTAGTTGTTCTACATTACAAGTGCACATATGATGGTTTTCTAATATAATATTATTTCTATTTTATAATATTTAATTTGTTGATTCTTTTATCATGTTTCGCTTACATCCATTTTGTCTTGATCTTTTTCTCCAGAATAGTATTCATTTGCTGGTTCAATTATTTTATCGGTGTCTTGTACATTTTGTCTAGAATCTAGATCAGGTTCTGGTTGTCTTTCTTCTTCAGGAGGCAATGCATCGCATGGAACATCTTGCATTTGAACACTTGGAGAGTGTTGAATCATTTTCAAATTATCGTACACATGTCTTGTAATAGCTTCTAAATATTGTTTACTATTTGCATTATCTTGTCTTGTTACAACATCAGGGTGCAATGTAAAATCTGGTGCAAAATATTCTAAATATTCTGTATATGGTAACTCATTACTAATCTGTTCGTCAACAAGCAAAGAAGTTTCGTAAGTCCAACAACGTGCAACATTACGTAATGTATATCCTCCTCCTCCAACAGTGAGCAATGGTATATTCAAGTCTCTAACAAATTTTACACATTCTCCATGTCCTTTTGTACTTAAACTAAAGCAACCAAGACGATCATTTGCAAGCGAATCTGCACCACATTGTAAAACTATCGCTGTCGGTTGGAAAAATTCCATTACATGAGATATGACTGGTTTGAATACTTGAACATAAGATGTATCATCTATACCCTCTTTCAAAGGTACATTAACAGAGTAATACCTCCCACTTTCTGCTCCAATTTCATACATATCTCCAGTACCAGGAAAAAAGTAATTTCCATATTTATGAAAAGATACTGTCATTACTCTATCTGTAAGATAAAATGCTTCTTGCACTCCATCTCCATGATGAACATCTATATCTATATAAAGTACTCTAGCATGATATTTTAATAATTCCAAAATTGCTATGACAATATCATTAATATAACAAAAACCAGAAGCTTCAAATTTTTTTGCGTGATGTAACCCTCCACTCCAATTAATAGCAATATCACAGCAATTATTGTTTAGTTTTGTAGCACCTTCTAAAGAAGCGCCTGTGTACATAGAACAAAAATCAAACAGTCCTTCAAAAACAGGGCAATCATCACCTACATTAAAGTGACTTAAATATTTGGTATATCCTTGTAAGTTTTGTGGAGTCACTCTTTGTAGAAATTCAACATATTCGTCTGAATGAAAGCGACACATGTCATGAGTACTAGCACGATATGGACGATAGATTTGCATTTTTTTATGGAGACCATAATTAAGTACTAAACTATGTATTACAGCAAGCCTATGGGGTTTCATAGGATGTCCAGGACCATAATGAAAATTTCCGACGTCTGGATTATAAAAGTATGATACTTTTTTGTTGTAACTCATTTTGAGGTTAGTTTACACGTATTTATATGTATATAACTATACATAAAAAAATATTTTTATATTTATGACATCATTAGGTATATAATATTAAATAATGAAATAATTACAATTCTTTAATATTATTAATTTTTACTATTACTATTACTTTTACTATTATTTTTAATATCGCAATGTAAAATCACTTAATATTATTCATATATACTTTGAAGTGTATGTAAATTAAAAAAAATATATATCAAAATTTCATAATCAATTTTCATCAAGTCTCAAATAAACAACTTAAATTATTTACAATAATAATAATAATAAAATTGTATTAACAATACGTGTAATTTATAATTAATATAATATAATAAACATCAATATAATGAAACTCTACTTATTTCTAACTGTCGTTTTAATAACTTTTCAGTGCCATCTATAGACAAATCTACTATTAATATTTAAGGAAATACAAGACAAATATATTTTTAATATTTTTTATATTTTTTAAAAAATATATCTTAAAAAGAATACATATTTCAATATTATTAAAGTTTATTAAAATTATTTATTATAATAAATATTTTATGAAACTGAAAAATCAATATCCTAGAATAGAAAAATTAAGGAACGTATTTATCAAAACCTATTTTCGAATTTGAAATTTTTTATGATTTATATTATGCTCATTTTTTTTGAATTTTGTAAATTTATTTTAGAAATCATACTTAAATAGACCAATTCTCATTTTTTTCATCATTTTTTTAATTGGAAGTTGAATTAAATTTCATACACTACGGCCATTCTTGTTTTTCGTACGTTGGCGATTGACAGCGTCACTCTTAATGTATTCCAAGGGATGAAGCGAGTATATTTCAATTTCATATTTCTTACCAATAATATCTTAATTAACATGTCTTAATTAATATTTGAAATATTTATATTAGAAATCATAAGTGGTTCGTTGAATAAGAATATTTGGAAAATATGCGACCAGATTCACGCAGCGTTTCATTTACATTTCACCGGGAAATTCTGAATATCAACAATTCACCGGAGATTACAAAAAAGATAAGACGACGTCTTCAAGATCGTTTTGAGAAAGAAAAATCTGAAGATTCCTGTAAAGGAAAGATGCCAAAGGAAAAACAAACAAGTGATCGTACTTGGAACAATTTAACTCTGGGAAATGTGTCAGCAGATTCTAGACGTGCTCTGCGAAGTGGAGCTGAGAAATTATCCAAAACCATATCTTCCGTACGCATAACTTTTGGAACTATTTCACAGGTTAGATAAATTACGAAAAAAATGATTAAGATAAAAATTGATTATTATGATGACTTCAAATTATGATTATAAATATCCTTTTATTCTTACATTTAGAAATTCAAAAGTTCTACACGAAGACGTCAAAGATTGGAGGAGCAACAATCTCCTAACAGTATTTGTAAAATGCAGACTCCTCAAACCCGTTCTCGTCAACTTCTTGGTCGAACACCAACAAAACTTTATAGTCCTTTTGGCATAGAATCTCCAAGACATGCATGGAATAAAGAGAATAATGAAACACCAGTGCATAGTCCTACAGAAACACGATATCTCCAATGTAGACCTTTTCGTTTTTCGAGAGCCAAAGGATTTTCTGTATTAAGATAAAATCTTTTCATTCTTTCTTTTAACTATTATTGAAATGATTTCCTTGTTTTCTAGCAATGCATTCAGGATTATGTGCCTTGTGCAACTTATAATTGAATTATTTTATTCAATTTTGATCAATAGATAAATACAGAAACATGATATATATATATATATGTATATATATATATATAGAGAGAGAAGAGAGAGAACTCCAATTTATAATTATTCTTTTGATATATTATCAATGATATCGAGCTGCTTTATATATATATGTAGTGCATAATCTATTTATACTTTTTATACATATTTATATAATTATTATTACAATATTGAATAAAAAAGCATAAAAAATTTCTTGAATTAAATCTTTCAAATCAAAATTAATAAAAAAAAACAAGATTTTGAACTAATTTAAAAGATAAAACTAGTAATAAGTGAAAAAAATGAAACCTAACCTCGCAAATGAATACCGTTCACTGTTAATATTAATCCAATTTATCTATGAAATAGTGTATTAATTTTTTTCACTTATTTTAAAGAAAAAAATGCAATTAATAATGACAAGAAAAAATCATAGTTATAAAATATTTGCTATATTCATTTTTTATTTTTCGTTTGTTCATATTAAGAAACATCAAGTAGTAGTAACTTCAATGATTTCAATTCACTAGCGAACGAAGTCAAGGTGCAATGAATTTTCTCAGAAATTTTTTTTCGTGCATCAAGAATTGCACGTACGAAACCAATTAAATCGTTCAATGAAATCTTGAAGTGAGAAACACGAAAAATTTCATTGAGTTAGTGCGCACGTGCATGTTTATAGCATAGCCGTGAAAAAAAAAATCTTCGTAAAATGCGCCACTGCATCCAAAAAGCATTGTGAATGCGACACGACCGACATGTGAAAATGAAAAATCGCTCACTTCGACAGAAGATACTCTAACACTTAGTGTTATGTTTCACACACGCTCGAAATGGCTACAAACGAACAAAACGAAGATACGCAAAATAATATAAATTCTCAAGTCAGGTAAGTTTTTTATTTAAACCTAATTTCTCATTTAAAAATATTTTACAATAATAAAAAAATTAAAAAATATTTTGTAATAACCTGTTACATTTTATCAATCGTGAAATTTAGAACGAGGTTAGAAATCGTAGTTATCATTGCTTAATGCATAAAATTATTATTTATGTATTTAATATTTTTATTTTTAAAAGTTTGATTTCTATTATATTATTTTTTTTTGCTTTTGTTTGCTGCATAATAAATTGAATTAAATATTGAATTTTTAGTTAAAAGAATAAAGTCTTAAATTTATCATTGCAAACAGATTTAAAAATGTAATGTTTAATAATGCAATGTAATTTATTGAATTTAAAAAATTAAATTTTATATAAATCATCATCATGTATTTTTTATAACAAAATTCCAGCATTTAATTCTTTTATAATTATTAGATACGTCATATATTTATTTTGAGCACCATTATTGGTTATATTTACTTCTTTCTTATCTAATAAACGAACAGGATAACGAACTATAATTCACATAAATTTCAACGATTAAAGGAATAATTTCGTTTTTTGAAACAAAGTAGAGTATAAAAAAATGACGGTCACATAATCCAAACAGGAACAACGTATATCATTTCCGGTTTGTAAAATTTTACTGCAATAATTTGTACAAACGTTTCGATATCACGTGAAACTCGAACTACGTAAAATCGCGCGTCGAATTTATCATGTTCGCAGTTCCTTACTGGGAAGTATTGTCAAGGTATGTTCAAAAAATTTTTTTTAAAGATTTATACACATATATAACGAATTAAATTTTCTGTCATTAACATAAATAGAGTATACTTATCTTTAAAAATCGTGGAATAAGTTTTTTTATGTATTAAACGATTATTATAATAATATAATCGCGAAAATCATAGTCATATATTCAATTTATTTAAAAATCATTGAAAGAATAGAATAATAGGAGAAATTGGCATAGGCCCGAATTTATGTAAACATGCGCTAGAAATTTAGGCGGGATGTCCCGCCCCATGCGCATCCCCATTATACAGGATGTTTCATTCGATAGAAGATCAACATATTACATACTATATGCTTTTAAAAGAATCATAACCTTTACGAAGAAATTTTATAATTATTTTTATTTTATGAATTAAACTGAAGTTATTGTTGATATAATATTTTTTCCACGTTGTTAATAAAATTAGATATATTTAAAATGTACAAATTAAGTGAAACTGTCTGTATTATTCATTGGTGAGAGTGGTGTAGTGGGGTAGCGTGCCGCGAGAGGGTGTCGCGCAAGGCAGGTCAGGGCTGGGGCTCAGTACGTTTGCGTACGCTGTGTCGTATGTATCGTGCGACGTTCCTCCGCGATTCTTCGCTTGCTAACTTCTCCATTCTCTGTGTATCGGATCCTTCGGTGCGAAAGCAACGCATCACATCAAATACCATCAAGTGTGATAACAAAGTGTGCATGATTCGATGGTGATGGTGCAACGAGCTTACATAATTATTGGCGTGTATTAAGCAGAATTGCATATAACGTGTGATACAAGTGAGTGAGTGTATACTGCTCTTTTCGTCGATCTTCTCCCACTATATACGGTGTTTCTTTAACTACTTCTTTCCCGCTTCGGTACGTATATCTTTATACCTTTTCTCTCACTCAGGGCACAATTCTACATTTGGCGAAAGTTTAATTTATCTTTAAGTTTATTTTTTCTTCTTCTTCATCTGCTATGGTGCCCCTTTTTCACTCACTCCCTCCATATTCTGACAGCTTGGTCGATTCATGAATCTGCCGGGCCATTTCCCCGGGCTTCTTCGAAATAAGGCCAAACGATTATTTTCTGTCACCAAACTTCGAAAAGAATTTTTTTTTTATTCCTTCTCTTTCTATAGTAGATTGAACTATTTGATGATACAACTTTTAAGATTTATCGACAATTGCTAATAAATGAGATTAAAATGAAATAGCGCGTTTCTCTTCAATCAAGTTTCTAATAAAAATTGCGTAAACAATAAACAAACTAGACACAAGCTATCGAATACGCGGAAGTTCTCGTCAACGAAGCGTGCTCTTCTTCCCCTTTTTTTTTTACAATTCAATGATACAATTCAATTCTACAAAAGTAGAAACATTAATATATTGAAAAAATAAAGTGTTCATTTTAAAGTGCTTTCACGAATATTGCTTTGGATATAAAATAAAATAGATTTTTGTCCATTTATTATATTTTATCTTATATATACTTATATATAAAAAAGGTTATGATATATTAGCATTTTATAACTAAATGACTCGTTTCTATATTTGTTGTAACTTGAAATAGTACAAAAAATTTATAGATAATGTAGATTTAAAAATATTTTCATATGCATAATTATTTGGTACTTATCTGTTAGCAAAGAAATTTCTTGTTTAGTTTCACAATTGATATGCTTCATATGGTTTGATTTTAGTTCCTTTCATTCATGGCTATTCTTGCTGGTTCTGTTTTGTCCTTACTTGCCTTTGTTTGTTTGTTTCTGATACACAGGTTTGGCATCATATACATATATGTATATATGCAGATTTATTTTCTATTTATTTTGAACCGCTTAAAGAAAGTGAGAGCATTCAAAAGTGCAGGCAGAGCAGCGATCATGGCATTGCACGGGGAAAACGTAGTAATGATTTTGTTTATATTTTTTGTATTTGCTGACCCCACCAACGATTATCCTGGGACATATCAGTTGGAGTACGCAGGAGCCAGAGCCGCACAACTCACAATTGGTAGCATCAAATCAGCAAGAACTGCAGAATCAAACTCCAAATCAGAAAGTAGATCAAGAATTTGCTAAAATGACAGATCAACGAGAACAACAACCTCAACCACAACAACAGCAACAGGCGCAACAGCAACAGCAAACCAAAGGCAATGAAGAACCAAGAACAAATTTGATTATTAATTATCTTCCACAGAGTATGACAGAAAAAGATCTTTACAGTCTTTTTGTAACTATTGGGCCTGTGGAATCTTGTCGTGTTATGAAAGATTATAAAGTATGTTTTGTTTCATAAACTATATAAATTTAGCTTTTTATTTTTATGAATTATATTATTTTTATATTTTTAATTTCATTTTATAGACAGGATATAGTTATGGTTTTGGATTTGTTAATTATGCAAAAGCTGAAGATGCAGCCACAGCTATAAGTACTTTAAATGGACTTCAAGTTCAAAATAAAAGGCTAAAAGTATCCTTTGCACGACCATCTGGTGAAGAGATTAAAGAAACTAATCTTTATGTAACAAATTTGCCGAGGTATGCTATGATTTAATATTTAATATTTATTTATTTTAATATTAATTAATAAAATAAAATAAACAATATATAATAAAATTATTAATTTCATTTTTTTAGAAATATAACTGAAAGTCAGATTGATGATATATTTAGTAAATATGGAAATATTGTGCAAAAAAATTTTTAAAAGACAAACTTACTGGATTACCAAGAGGTGTAGCATTTGTAAGGTATATTTTTTTAGTGTTTCATTTCTTAAACTATATATTATTAAGATAAATTATGAATGTTAAACAGTTTTATAAAAATTTGTTTCAAAAAAAACAATTTATTTAACTATATTGATAAAAAATATTGCTTATGAAATATTCTTTTGAAATAAGCATTATTTCATAATGCAATTTTATATTTCAATTTTTGATATAATAATAATAATATATTATTATTCCAACTCTATAATAAATTATAGAGTTATTATAGATTTGATTGTATTGAATTATAGAATTGTTTATAATAATCTGTTCCTTCACATTTTCACGCGATTAGTTATATTTTTATTTTGCTATTATTTGGAAATATATATATATATATATATATATGAACAATTGATAGTTATAGTTGTTTGTGCCAAAGAAGAAATGTTTAGTTATTATGCAATCTATATGTGTCTGTATTTATTTTCCGAAATCTTTGCTGCCAAATTATTTTGACCACTTCTCTGGTGCTTATTTTATTTGCATAATTTTGACTTACTTAACAGACCACTGACCTAGTTAATGCAATTGTGCATGCAAAGAGATTTATGGTTTATTGTAGGAAAATAGTCCAAAAAGTGTGTCAACTATCTAGAAATAGAATCTACAACTAGTTTAATAAATTTGATTTTGGCAAGTTTTAAGGACTCATTAATTCACATTCTATATATTATGCTCTAAATAATTCCCAATTAATATTATAAACTGTGTAAATATCTGGCAATTATATTCATTATCAAGTAAATTTTTTATTTGATTTTTAAATTTCTATTATAATAATTATATCTTTGTAGATTCGATAAACGGGAAGAAGCACAAGAAGCGATCGCACGACTACATGGAACGATACCAGAAGGTGGATCAGAGCCACTTAGCGTAAAAATCGCGGAGGAACACGGAAAACAAAAAGCGGCATACTACGCTGGATGGCAGGCTGGTTACAATCAGAGTAGAGGTAAGTAATTTTAATTTTGTCAATAGACAATTAGTCTTGCTCAAATTTCTTTCGTTCTCAACCTGACAGTAGAAATTATTTTTTTATAGAATTAATAAAATGTTGACCAACTATGGAATTATAATAATTATTTAAAAATGAAAATCCTAAAATTTTAATTCATAAATAATTGTGAAATAAATTGATTTTTACTGACAGGTGAGATTTGCATTTTGGCTTTCTATAAATCCTACCAAATAAATCATCGTTTCGTTATTGCCATATTGTTGGAACTGTAGAAGCACATGAGATTTGAGAGATAATTTTTTTTCAATAGAACGCATCTCTCTCTCTCTCTTTTTCTCTTTCTCTCTCAGCTCGTCACTTTTTCAAATTGTCGTATTAATTTTTTCCGTTTCTTTTCTTTCTTTTTATCGCGATGATACGCGTGCAATTGTGAAAACAGGGTAATGTCATTTTAACAAATTTTGTAACGTAGTTGCAAGGTGTAAGAAATTTCTGTATCTATTTAATACACGTTGTCCAAGATGCGAATGATCTTTTGATTAAATTAATTTGGAAAGAGCCTTCGCATCATTGACGACGTGTAAATGTGAGAACATGTCTAACATTTGAATTGTTTGCCAGATATGGCTGCACTTAAATCAAAGTACAGCGAAGATTGAAAGTGCTGTTTGCGTTCTAATGCGTGCAACGAATAATGCAGCAAATTTTCTGCGAATATAGTGGAGACACGTTTCTTGTCGCGCCTGTTATGTTTTTCTGTGTTCTCTTTGTTTTTGTTATAAGTTTTTTCGACGTTGTGCGCATGAAATTGTTTCACGTGTAATTAAAAAATAATAATAATAATAATAATAAAGGAAAATAATGCAGAAGATTCCTGGCAGTGGTGTTCAATGAAAGAAAAAAATCTCTTTGCAGATGGACATAAAAGAAAAAAATAATGAAACAGACAAGAATGCAAATATGTAGTGTTGCTGTGATAGAAATGTTTCTGTGTGTGATAATTTTTAGTGCACAAAAGCAAGAAATGAAAAGAAAAAGTAATGAAATGAAATGTTGTATCCTGCTAAAGTCAGTGACAACTTGTGTTACAAGAAAAAAGAGAAACATTCATTAAGTTGTATTCAGCACACAAGGCTGGTTGTCTAGAAGTTTGATTTTTTCTTTTTTTTTGGACATTTTCTGGTCAACAATTGTAACTCTGTTTTGATTAATTGCCAATGCTATTGTTACCATATTGATTTTGCATTGTCATGTATTTTCAAATGTATTCAAATCACACTATGAGCATCATCTTCATTCTATACATTTTTGTGTCAACAAATTATTGTATAATTACGTCTTAAAACTGTTTTGTACTTTCTTTTGATAAGACATACA